TTTTTTTTTTGCTGTTTTTGCATACATCCTATGGATAATTTCAGGACATTTTAAACAATAGTATATTATGATAATAAATAAAAATGTCCACTGGGCTATTAATTTAAAAAAACAACCCTCTTAGTTAACAAGGTACTTAAATAAATAGTTGGGTTTATGGCAGCTCAGCTTATCACATTTGGATGAGGCCCTTTTGGAAAGATAGTCTGCTGTCCTTCCATGCCACCTAACTGTATTTCTGCCAGGCGTCAGTGTTTTCTGTTTCTTCAAAATAATGGTAGCCTGTGCTGAGTGACATCTCACAGGTATCCTGATTTTTTTTGTTTTTGTTTTTTGGGGTACTAGGGATTGAACCCAGGGGCACTTAGCCCACTGAGGCACATCCCCAGCCCTTTTTTCTATTTTGTTTAGAGACAGTGTCTCAGTGAGTTGCTTAGGGCCTTGCTAAGTTGCTGAGGCTGGCTTTGAACTCACAATCCTAGAGGAGTATAGTGGCACACATGGTGACCTTTGCCTCCCTAGCCACTGGGATTATAGGCGTGCGCCATGTGATGATTTCTGGAGGACCTGGGAAAGTATTCATTCTTACTGTCAGAGCAGCAAAGACTGTAGTGGCCAACAGGGTCTCTTCCCTTAAGGTCATTCTAGAAAGCTGCTTTCCGCCCCCCCCCCCCCCCCCCCCCCAAAAAAAAGGAGCTCTTGGAAATGGCTCTCTTCTCCGCTTCCTACAAATACAATGATTTCATGCAGCAGGTGACTTCATTATGTGTCTTTTAAGAAGCATTTTTGTGAAATTTATGTATTTTAATCACTATACCAGAATAACAATTAAAGTTCTTCCTCTTTTTTTTTCATTTATTGACACCTTGTAGTTAAAAATACAGACCCTGTATCCCCTGTGGGGCCCACAACTCCCCACCAGACTTTTTTCACATTGTAATTTCAGTAATGCATACACAAGGGCTCAATCCATAGCACCAAAAACCAACCAGCCAATCAAATATTTTTCGTTTCAGATTACAAGCATGTTAGCAAAATAAAATAATTTCAGTTGGGGAAAAACAGCTTCTCTATACCTTTGGTTTTGGCAGGTTGTAAAACAACCTAATATCAGGAACCTGTGGGGTCTGGGGTTGACTTTATTAATTTTTTTTTATTAAATTTTATTGATGTCCTATCTTTTTTAAAAATATTTTTTAGTTGTAGATGGACATAGTACCTTTATTTATTTATCTTTATGTGGTGCTAAGGATTGACCCAGTGCCTCACCCATGCTAGGCAAGCGCTCTACCACTGAGCCACAACCTCAGCCTCGACTTTATTGATTTCTTAAGACCTAATTTTGCAGCCAGGTGTGGTGATGTGGTCATGCATGCCTATAATCCCAGATATTAAGTCAGGAGGCTGAGGTACTATTGCAAATTTGAGGCTAGCCTGGGCAATTTTGTAAGACCTTGTCTCAAAAGAAAATAAAAGCTGGGCATAATGGTGCATACCAGTAATCCCTGCTATCAGGAGGCTGAAGCAAGAGTATTGAAAGTTCAAGACCAATTTTGTTGTTTCTGACCACTTCTTCACTTTCAAAGTAAATCCTTGATAGATCTCTTGTTAGATTTGGTGAGGATGCACTTTCTTTTTCTAATGTCTAGAAATGATGAAGAGTCCATTCTGACTTATAAAAAAAAGTACTACAGACCAGCTCTCACAGGACAAACGAAAAACAGCACTGTCTTCACTTTGATGTTTAGAATTTGTGAACATAAATGGTTGCAATGCTGTCAGAAGAGATATGAGGAAAGATAACGAAGTGCTATCCTTTTAGCCATACTTGTAGCTGGCCTTTGGTGTGCTGGGTGAGCTCCTAAGGATGGCCCCATTTCAGTGAGCTTTCCATGGTAGCAGCCTTGAATGTTGAGAAGGGGAATGGGGATTCCAATTTTTCATCCCCTATCATCCTCCCACACACTACCATCTTTTTTCCTCCCTAGCTTAATACAAATTTTATATCAAGCTACTTAAAACACAAAGTATTAAGCTCTCAGTATACTGTGGAAATTATGTCTCTAATGCAGAGTGATTGAGCAATAACAATACTGCTTGTCTTAATGTCAATATGAATTTGTCTCATCTTGTCTGAAACATAATTGAACAAGTTCAAACTCAGGCAAGTCTTTGAGTTCACTATTCATTTCTCAAAAGCACTTTCTTACACATACATGCATAGCCTTTGTTTTTGATCCTTTTCTTTCTTTTAAGCTTGTTTTCTATTCTTTAATTCTTATTTTTTGTTACTTAATTTCTGGTATAGAGAAAATATAAGGCTAGGGCTGTAGCTCAGTTGCCAGACATGCACAAGCCCCTGGGTTCAATCCCCAGCAGCACACACACGGAAAATATACATTATTTCTTAGATTAAGTATTATTATTATTAGTAGTAGTATTTTATTAATTAATTTGTTTATTGGTACTGGAGATTTCAGATGTGTTTTACCACTGAGTCACTTCCTGAGCCCTTTTTAGTTTTGAGACAGGGTCTTGCTAAGTTTTTTAGGGACTCACCAAGTTGCTGAGGCTGGCTTTGAACTTGCGATCCTTCTGCCTCAGCTTACCTAGTTGTTGGGATTTTAGGTATGTACCTCAGTATCTAGCATTAGACTCATCTCTCTTTTTTTTTTAATACCTTTATTTTATTTATTTATTTTTATGTGGTGTTGAGGCTCAAATCCAGTGTCTCACACATGCTAGACAAGAGTTTTACCACTGAGCTACAGCCCCAGCCCCAATTAGACTTGTTTCTGTTATGACTTCAAAAGTTTCCTTAGCAGGCTGGCGTTGTGGCTCAGTGGTAGATCACTCACCTAGCATGTGCGAGGCCCTGGGTTTGATCCTCAGAACCATATAAAAATGAATAAAAAGTAAAGGTATTGCGTCCAACTAAAAATAAATATTAAAAAAGTTTCCTAGCATATTATAAACTGGCTCTTTTATTCTGTGTATATGTGGTATGGGGCTGTTGGTGCTTCTTATAGGGCTTCACCAAGTAATTTGATCTTGCCGAATTTGTGCACATGCTCTGTGTTGTCAGGCGGAACTAGAATAGCAGCAGCACAATTAACAGGGATTCTTATTTGCAGGAAAGGATTTTTTTTCCTTTTTTTTTTTTTTTTTTTTTAAAGGATTGGGGACCGGACCCAGGGGTGCTTTAGCACTATGCTACATCCCCAGCCCTTTTAATTTTTTTTTTTTTTAATGTAGAGATGGGGTCTTGCTGAATTGGCCTAAAACTTGTGATCCTCCTGCCTCAAACCCCAAAATGACTGGGATTACACCAGCTGCACCAGGCTGCAAGAAAGAGTTTTCAAACTTGACTACTGTTGTCTCTGTTTGAGCCTTTTTCTCTCCTTGCCTGCTCGTTTTTCCCCTGACCATAGAATTATTTTAATTTTGTTGAAAGTTAATGAGTTAACAGGTTGCACTCTGTCTCTTAAAAAACAGTGTTCATAATATATAATGGTCTTAGCCAAAAGTCATTTTAAAAATACCATTTACAAAGTTTTTTCTATAAAGAAATACATTGTAAATACAGTGGTACCATTTGGTTTTTTAAAGTGGAACTTGAGTCCCTCTAGTGGGTAGTAAAATTTGAGATAGGACAAGAAAAATTTGGATTTTCAGTATACCTGCTTTCATATTCAGTGTTCTCATTGGTACTCTTGTTCTCCATCCCAAGCTGAAAGGTAGTTAGTTAGTTCTCTGCTAGCCCCTAATGGCCCTCTTCCCAGCCAAAATTCAGAAATCCTCCTTCTTTCACCCATGTGATCTCAGTGGCCCTGGTCACTGCTAGCCTGTGATCACACAAGCTTGCTAGCTGCTTTGTTTCAAGCTTCAGTAAGTGTAATTCAAGCTATAAGTTGGTGATTTTATGCCATGAATATTTTATTTTTTTTATTTCTTGATACTGGGTATTGAATCTGGGGTGCTTTACCTCTGAGCTGCATCCCAAGCCTTTTTTTTTTTTTTTTTAAAGTTTTTAGTTATAGGTGAACACAATACCTTTATTTTATTTATTTATTATTTGGTACCGAGAATCGAACCCAGTGCCTCACAGGCGTGCTAGGCGAGCCCTCTACCACTGACCCACAACCCCAGCCCCTACGTCCCTTTCCTTTTTATTTTTTTAGTACCAGAGATTGAACCCAGGAGTGCTTAACCATATCCTCAGCCAGTTATATCTTTTATTTTTGAGACAGGATCTCATTAAGTTGTTTAGGGCCTTGCTAATTTATTGAAGCTGGCCTTGAACTTGTAATCCTCCTGCCTCACTCCCAAGTTGCTGGGATTATAGGCATATACCACCGTGCCTGGCTTGCCATGGAGTTCTTTATAGAAAAGATCACAGCAACCCAGGTTCCTTGGGTTGCCATGAAATAAATAATTGTTGAAGGCCTGCTTTGGGCACATAGGTGAGGACATTTAGCAGTTGGAGAAATTTTGTACTGATGGTTAGAACAGAGGCAGGATGGTGTGATTGCAAAGAATGAGGGCTTGCCAGGAATGGTGGCAACACACCTGTAATATCGGACTTAGGAGGCTGAGGCAAGAGAATCTACAAGTTTGAGTCCGGCCAGGCAGGGCAGCTTAGCTCAGTGCTGGAGTGTCCCTAGGTTTAATCTTCAGAACTGGGAAGGAAGAAAAAAAAAAGAATTTAGGGTTCAGATCCCAACTTTGCCATAACTAGCTTTGTGACCTTCAGCTGTGATCATATGCCTCTCTGTACCTTAGTTTTCCCTTTTGTAAAATGAAGAGACGGTAAAACTGCCTTGCAAGGTTGTTTTAAGTATTGGAAATGTTATGTAAATGGGTTTGTGTTTTTAGTGTTCAGTGATTGGTAGCAGAAGTCTTGGAAATATCCCCTACTTGAGTCTCAATAATTAAATATATGGGATTTAATTATTTGGATGACTTTTCATCTTTTCTGTATTCCTTCTTTTTTCTTTCAGTTACCACCAAGTAAGCGAAGAAAATTAGAGAAGTCAAGAAAACCCATTACATTTGTAGTGTTGGAGTCTGTGATGAAAGAATTATCCCTCAAAGCATCATCTTTGGGCTCTGAGACAGTGGAGGGCATAGTGGTTGTGACAACATGGATAGAAAAAATTCTCACTGATTTAAAGGTACGTGGTTAAGCACATTGATTGAATAGTCAATAACCTCCCAACCAGCCTGCTTGCCTGCCTTCCCTTTCCCACTTGCCCTTCCCTCCCTTTTTTTCTCTTTTTCTTTCTTTTAATTTCATGTAAAATTCAGTTTTTCCTCCACACAGGTCCAGCATAAACGAGTTCCCTGTGGAAAAGAGGAAGCTAGTCTTTTCCTGACAGCCATAGAAAACTCCTGGATTCACTTAAGGCGAAAGAAAAGAAAGCAAGTGAGACAACTGAGGGAAGTGCCTCGAGCTCCTGAGGATGTCATACAGGCCTTGGAGGAGAGAAAAGCCATCCCCAGAGAGTCGGGCAATAGCCAGGATGTGGCCCCGAGCCCCCAGGAGGGTACCCTTTGTGGGTCTACTCTGCAGGAGGGCGAGTCTGCCACTGTTGGGGGCTACTGCCCAAGCCAGGAGTCACTGTCCCAAGAGGAAACCCCAGAACCCATGGAGGATGAAAGGAGTGAGGAAAGGGGAGGGGAGGAGGTTGTGGAAAGTTGTAAAGTCTCTTGCAACGAAACCCAGGACCGAGAGGCTTCTGAGCAATATAGCAACCCAGGGGCCGAAAAGGGGAAGCCCCTCCAAGTAGCAGCTGGACATTACCTATTTAAGTGTTTGATAAACATTAAGAAGGAAATGGATGATGCCTTAGTTGAAATGCATTGGGTTGAGGGCCAGAACAGAGATTTGATGAACCAGCTTTGTACCTATATACGTAACCAGATTTTCAGGCTTGTTGCTAGTTAACTCCATACTTCTTGCAGTTACAAGAGTGTCTATAGAGGACTGGGGGTGTAGCTCAACTTCGCATGCGGAAGGCCCTGAGTTCCATCCCCAGTACCACCCCCCACTCAAAAAAAAAAAGTCTATTAAACAAATTGTTTGGAGTAGCCTAAATGGTGGCAAGAGGAATTTTACCACTGGCCTATTAGTAGTATTATGTGGAATTATCTTAAAAAGCAGAAATCAATCCATTTTATTAAAGTTATAAGGAGTTATATAGTTCAGTAGTTCAGGAGGAAGAATTATGGTTGTCAGCAACAACAAAAAGATGTAAACTCAGGAGGGACTTAAAACTGACTCAAGCTGGTCACCTCCGCTTTGGACTGATTTCATGAGGCTAAGGTATCGTTTGTGGTGTCTGGTCTTGGGTCAGTACTTCCCAGAACATCATGGTTTGGTCCCCCAGGGTCTTCATGAAGAGAATACACTCTTGTCCTCCAATGGAGAGCAGAACAGAAAGGCCCCAGAGCCTACTTCTAGAGTTACCTTTAAGACTAAACCTCTGCACCCTGGGTACATATGATTGATTAACTGTGCTCCAGTCCCCAGAGATGAGCTGGCCTGATGGGAGATGGTGGGAGAGTTGGGAGGAGAAACCTTAATAAGATCAGGAAGAAGGGCCCCTCTGGGATACGCCTGGGAAATGGCACATTGCTGACTCCTGGCTATTTTGATATTGCTTATTTCAGAAGCAGAATTAAATGAACAAAACTCCTAGATATGACGGAGACAACAAAATACACCCATACCCATTTTGTAGCAGTTTTGCCACTGTTTGGTTTTTGTTGAAACACAAGAAGTGGAACTTGTTTTATTTTTAATATAAGAATATTCAGAATTAAACTGTCAATACTGTTTGAATCCTGGGATTGGGGAAAATACTTTCATAGAGAATGATGGTAAAAATGTGAACAAGGCACTGTGTGCAGTAGTAGCTTAAGAAAGCCTCTATTGGCAGGTAATTTGTTGCTGATCAAGTGCTGCTTTTTTATGTCTTCCCTTGTAATCCCTTCTGTGCATTACTTGCTAGCACTGGAGCATTCTGGGGTCAAGTTAACCGTGTCATCAGAACATGTTTCTAATCCAAATGCCAGAGTTCAGCAGATATCTCTGGAAGGCATTCTTGGTTTTTGTTCTCTTAGTGTCTCAGTAAACCATTTCTGTGCATGATTCACACCACTCAATTTTGTACCAGTACCCTGATGTTCTGTTTAGAGTAAAATCTTTCAGTCTAATACCAGAGCTCCTTGCCCACTCCAATGAAGATGACCTCCCTGTTGAGAGGTGGCTGTTAGGACAGAAAGCTAGTGACTGGCATATTTTGGTGGCGGCTAGATTAGACCCTCTACAAAGGCATAAGGGAATGAAAGTAGTTTGTCTCATTTTGGCAGTAGAACTGGGAAAAGAGGTTGTTTTAAACACAGGGCTCTTTGCATACTAAACAAGCATAATACCACTGAACTCTGTCCCCGGCCCTTTATTTTATTTTATTTTATTTTAAGACAGGGTCTTACCACATTACACAGGCTGGCCTCAAACTTGTGATCCTCTTGCTTAAGCTTCTGAGTAGGTGGGACTACTGGTGTGCACCATTGTGCATAGCTGGGAAAAGAGCATTTTAACCAGTAACCTGTGTTCTAAACCTAGTCTATGGATCTCCAGATAATCCATAACCCTCCTGGGATTGTTTCTAAAAGCTCTATGAGTGTGTGTGTGAGAGCGTGTGTGTGTGTGTGTGTGTGTGTGTATTTTCCTGAGGAGAGGATTCATGACATAGGGAGAGGGGTGAGTGACCTGATAAGGATAAAGAACCACCATTCTAGTCCAGACATTCATTTGACCAATGCTCAGGGTTATATAAAGCCAAGACTCAATCCAGGGCTTTGGATCCCTTGTCCTGTAATTTTTGATGTATTGGCTTAGGCTATCTTTTTTTTTTAATATTTATTTTTTAGTTGTACACAATACCTTTATTTTATTTCTTTATTTTTATGTGGTGCTAAGGATTGAACCCTGGGTCTTGCACATGCTAGGCGAGTGCTCTACTGCTGAGCCACAATTCCAGCCCTTGGCTTAGGTCATCTTGCTGTACTCACCTCTGATTACTATCACATTTGAATCAGATGCAGGGCCCAAACTTAGTTTTCTTGAAATTTTAGGATTTTTTAGTTAACTGGCAGCTGTTCATTCTATAAGTATTTTTAAGTATTTATTGTTTCTTTGTTTCATTCTAAAAGAGTAGCAGATGCTCAAAGATTTGGAAAAATTAGGCTGGGGATATACAGTGGTAGAATGCTTGCCTAGAATGGGTGAGACCCTTGACTTGATCCCTATCACCAAATACAAAACAAAACAAAAAACCCACCCACAACTTTAGCCTTCTCTGATATTGTTATTTGTGGGTCTCCCTCCAGTCTTTCTAGAGATGCTATGTATTTGTGAATTTAACTTTGAATGTATTTATTGTGCTTTTCTTTTGTTTTGCTACTGGGGATTCAACCCAGTCAGGGGTGCTCTACCTCCCCAGCCACCCTTTTTATTTTGAGATGGGTTTCTCTAAGTAGCCAAGACTGTCCTCGAACTTGTGGATCCTCTTGCCTCAACCTCTTGAGTCTCTTATATACAATATAAGCTATATTGTAGTCTTCATTTAACATCTCATAAGTATTTTTCCACATTATAATGGTAATGTACTTATTTATACTCCTTGCCTGTTCACAATGTCCTTCAGGCACAGTATTGGCCTTTATTCAGGTCTCCTTCACAGGTATTCTCATAATACTCTTAACTGGAGACAAAATGTGTGTCTGTTTGTATGTGTTTCAGTCCCATGTTTAAAGCTTTGTGTTATAGAGGATGTTTTAAAGTGTTAAACTAATGATCCTAGAATTTTAAAGAATGACAAGAGCAGTGTTCACAGTCTTTGTAAAACTAGAACTATGAGTGCTTTGCATTTGTATGTCATTTCCTTCTCTGAGAAGAATAGTTTATGTCTTTCTGTCCTCTTTCCCTCTCTCCCTCACTCCGTCTTTCTTTTCTTTCTTTATTTCCTACTAAAATTGAACCCAGGCCTTGTATATGCTAGGTAAGCACTATTCCCCAGCCGCAGAATAGTTTATTTCTTAAATTAAGGAGAGGGCATTGAAAACTTTATAAATGGTCATCTAAGAATTGTGTTGGTTATGCATGTGCTTTAATTTTATAATGTCTATCTTTAGTATGGGGGGAAAGTTTTTTGTTTTTTTAAGAAATATATTACTGCCCACATGTTGCAGTGTTGAGTGACACTCTCTGTAAGTGTCTGGAGGTCAAATTCATCTTGGTGTTGGTGGATTGGTATGAAATGAAATCTTTGTGGTGTTATCTTAAATTCTATTCTGGTCCCTGGAATTGACTTCTGATATTCCGATAGCTAAAATGGGAACAGAAGTTGAGCTTGTTTTCCAAGATGAACTAAAGCTGCTTTTGTTTTCTCTCAGTTTGGTTTCTTTACCCCACATCCTTGCCCGACTGCTCCTACACCAGAGTTTTGCTGCATGTCCTGGCAAGGTTGATGGCTCTGTGGTGGGGTTTTCAGCTAATCTTAGAGTTCATGTTCATTACTTTAGTATGTATTTTTAAAAATATAAAATACATCTTTTCTTGGTGAAAATGAAAGTTTACTATGTAAGCACACCACCTTCTAAGCTCTGGAAAGAGTAATAACCACATGTGTAGAAAAGATGCAAAGTCTGTGGAGACTGAGGACTTTGAAAGAAGGGAGCTTTTAAAAATTCTTGAATGCTGCTGGTGCCTCTCTCTCTTACCTAGCCCACAGCACTTCCCTCAGTAGCCACATGGGGGCACCTTCGGCCCTCTTATCAAGCACTTTAACTTCACTGTGGGAATCCATAAAATTGTGTCCAAGGTATTTTCTTGAAATATACAGTTGCTACCCAGGTAAGCATCTTTATATAAACAAGGACATTTTTACATTAAAAACTTTGAAAAAATGAAAAAAGGGAAAACTACTATCATGATCTTTTTATCCAGCACAATACAATCCCTTTCAGACTTTTTATGTTTTGTTTTTTTCATAGTCGCAGTTGACTATCTTTTTCTTTTCTTTCTGTCTCTCTTCATATTGTGGAATGTTCTCAGGTTGTACCTACTCTTTTGGATCAATTCTTTTATTAGTATGTAGTTAATGGGGATACCAGAGTGGGAAGGTTTAGTGATTTTGAAACAAAAACTTCTCAAAAGCCTTATGTTCCAGGACAAGTAACAAGAGCACCAAGAAAGATGGTTATTCATGTTCTTTTGTATGTTCATGCTTTAGGTTTATCTGGCTGGCTAACTAATGTGCATGTAATGTGTTGTTTCAAAAAATATATATCAAAAGTTGGTGAGGATTCTGTGTTGTGTATATTACGCAGGTCAGCTTGGCCTTGTTTCTTATAAGGGTATATCTGTGTAGAACAGGAATATTACCCTAGGGTCTATGTGGCTCTAGGAACAGTTGCATCTACTCTTATTTTATGGCACAGGATCAAGTGTAAGTGGCTACCCAAAACTGATTAGCCCATTAGGAAGAAGAAAATACAGTTTGGAATACTAGGTTAGGAGCCTCCTGGAAGAAGGTGCCACCTAGGGCATGTCCAGAGTAAAAGGATGTAATCACATCATTTTTAGGGAAGTTGGTGCTCCAGAGATTTGGTTTCCTGAAAGGGCACTAACCTCAGTAGAACCCTGTGCTGTTCAGTTTAAGAATGAATTAGCCAGAGGCTGAGGCAGGAGGATTGCCAAGTTCAAGGCCAACCTCAGTAACTTAGTGAGACCCTATCTCAAAATAAAAAATAAAATGGGCTAGGGATTTGGCTCAGTAATTAAGCACCTCTGGTTTAAAAAAAAAAAAAAAAAAAAGTTGGCCTTTGCTACCTGGAGTTAGGGCATTGGTGAATTTGAACCTTTCCAGTATTTCCAAATATATACCCTTTGGTGCTAGTACCAGTGTACTATTAGACAGCCCTGCACAGGGCTTACCCCACTAGCAACAGAGCCTCAGATGCACACACCAGAGAGTTCCTGCTCTGCTCTGCTCTCATTCAGATCCTCTGCTGTGACTCACCCAAATGACTAAAAGATGGGTTTATTTCTTTAATTGCTGGTTAGAACAGCTAATGCTGCCTTTTGGAGGCTGTGCTTTTACTCCAGGGAACTATGTTGTGACTAAGTGAAGACCTTGCACCTCTAAATGCCCTTCAAGGTGTAGACATATCTGCCTATCTTAGTCTAAGCAGAAACATCAGGGCCTCTAAACTCCTCAGGGAAGTATGTGACCGCAGGTGCTCATTAGGACTGAGGGAACTGAGAGAAGAAGGTGTGAAGCAGATAGTGCAGTTGCGTTTGGCAGAACTGGCTTGGATGTGATGCTCTGAAGAGGGCAAACGATGTATAAAAAAAAAGTTGGACTTTTCCAACTTCCCTATGGGAGTAAAAACAGGAAAGAACACCACTTGGTAGTTCAACACTGGGTCTCTGTTGCAGATCAATTCCTTATGTAGTGTAAGCCTTGGCTTCCTCATGTCAGACTAAAGACTTCTTGCTCCACAGGTTATGGCAAGACTGCAGTGAGTGAAGAACTTGAGCACATAGGGGAGTGGACTACTCAACTTGCTTTTCTCTCCTTTTCTGCTAGAGTTTTCAATTTCTGGCAGAAAATCTACCAGTGGATTCAAATGAAAAGGCTGAAACCTCAAATGTATAACTTTCCAGTATTCCCAAATATATACCCTTTGGTGTTGAGTATTACCAACTGACCAAGATCAAATGGAAAACTTCTTCCATGTTATGGAGGGAGGGATGGGGAACCAATAATTTACTATCCATCTTCAACATAAATTGTCTCATTTAGTAACCCTGTAAGGTGGTGTGGTGCCTGCCCCTGTGTGATGAATGCAGGGACTGAAAATTCAAGAGTGCTTTAGTGACTTGTCCTAAAGTTATTCGCAGAGTAAAGTCATAAAAATAGTATTTAAACTATTCATGAAGCCAGTGCTGGGATTTTGTGCCAAAACTCAAAATTTTGTTCCAGAAGCTGCACTTATTATGAAAATGTATGTCTAGTTCCATTTGACCTACCCCTGCAGCAGGAGGCTTCAATTATATGATACAGGGAAGAGAAGAAAAGCATGTCTTAAGCCAGCTTCACAGTTTAGCAATTTAAGGTAATACTATTTTCCAGTCAATGATCAATGAGTGAGATTTAGTAAGTGAAATTACTTATAATTATTTCTTAATTTATGCCACCAGGTCTTCACAGAATCTTGTATTTGGCAGTAGTGCAGATAATTACGTAGTTAATGAAACCACAAAATAAAATGTCTAGTCAAAGCACATGTTGGACCAGAGTCAATGTGAAATAACTGATAATTATGTAATGATTCTTTGACGATACATAATTGTATAATAATGGAGGAGAGGTTTAATTCTTTTTTAAATAAGACACCTCCAAATATTTCACTTAGAGAACACAAAACCAATGTGCTTTCTGGAAAAGGTAGAAAATCAAGTCCTCTTCCCAGGTAGTTCATGAGAACCAGCACAGACCTGGGAAAAGCAAAGGCTGCCGCCTGCCATCTGGTGGGCCTTCTCATAGAGAGTGGCCCAGGAGTCCAGGAAAGCCTGGAAATTCCCAATTGGCTGGCTCCGGCAGCTAGTCAGCCCCTAAGGAAAACGGCAGCTTATGCTGCTACTGTACAAAAAGAGCAAGCTACCCAGAGACCTCTGCTGAGAGGGGACCCCTCCAGAGACCATGGATGAGACTGGGCCTATTCCCATCAATTTGCCATTCAGGGACCTGGTATCTATTTCTGGGAATAGGGAAGTCCAAGTGTAGTCTGACATAGAATCCTTACTTCAGATATGGTTTTCCAGGATTCCTGCCTTCAAGGCCAAATGTGGATCTATGCAGGGCTCTATGGACCAAACCTGGTCAGGATTTCAGTGAGCTCTGGACCAACACTGATAAAGACTTTTTAATTTGTAAAGGTGAACAGCAGGCTGGGTTCAGTGGTGCACTCCTGTAATGAACTTAGTAACCCTGTAAGGTGGTGTGGTGCCTGCCCCTGTGTGAAGAATGCAGGGAGGCTGAGGCAGGAGGATTGCAAGTTCAAAGCCAGCCTCAGCAACGGTGAGGCGCTTAGCAACTCAGTGAGACCCTGTCTCTAAATAAAATACAAAATAGGGGGGCCAGGGTTGTGGCTCAGAGGTAGAGCGCTTACCTAGCATGCGTGAGGCACTGGGTTTGATCCTCAACACCACATTAAATAATAATAATAATAAAGGTATTAAATAAAATACAAAATAGGGCTCACAGTGGTGGAGTACCCTTGAGTTCAATCCCTGGTACTCCCCACCCCCATCCAAAAGAAAAAGGGAAATAGCTGCTCATCTTCTACACCAGGAGCCAGGCAAGAAGGGGAAAAGCTCATGCCCCAACTAAAATGGAGTAGCTGTGATTGGTTACTGCTCCTGGTTACTGCCATGCTAAAATATGTGCCCAGCATTGTTGGATCTTCTGATTTTTTGAGGGAAGCCTGAAATCCAGATTTATGAGAAATGTCCTTAATTATGAATTCTCACTGATTTTTTAATTTTTTTAGCTAGACAAAATATGGTAGACTTGCAGTTTGTGATGACTTCTGCCACTGGGTAGTAGAACTGTACATATATTTGCTGCCTCTACATTTCCTAACTTATGCATTCACTTCAGCTTCTGAAGTCTGGTTGCTGCCTGTCCTTATTTCTATCTCTTCCCACTTCTAAAAGGGAAATCCTAAGAAGTCTACCCATAAGCCTTGTTTGCACTTTTCTCCCACTTCTGGCTATTTTTTACTCCTCCGACTTCATCCACTGCCACCCCCCTCCTCCCATTCATGGTGCTCAAATTCAGACCTGTCTTGAACTTTCAGCAGCCATATACCCAACCATCTTTTGGACATTTCCCCTAGGATCATGAACATGTCTAACTCTACTTACTGTCTGCACCTGCTTCTCTTGTAGTCTCATCACCTGGCACCCAGCTATCCAGATTAGAAATCTCTGCTCTTCTTTTTTACCACAGCACTAAAGTCTTCCCCAATCAATCTCAAGTCCTCCATTCCTAGTAACAATGCCTTAATATAGTTCCATGTTGGCTCACCAGGACTCTAAGGAATGCCTTCATGACTTCTGGGGAGCTTCAGAGCAAGGCAGCAGAAAGAGCAAACCTAGATAGCTTGGGTGTGGGGAGAAACAAGATAAAGAAACCTGCTTTGGGAGAGCTTTCAGATGAAAGAGTAGGATGAGGAATAAAGCCGCAGACACAGATGGGATCAAATACCATTATATCCTGAAGAATGGGCAGCCCTTCCTAAGCACAGGCCAGCCTTTTCCCCTTGAATGACTTCCTTTTAACAAAATTAATACATTTTAATTATTAAACATTTAGAAAATAATAAAAACCTATAATTTCACTGCTACTACTCATAATGAGATTATTTTACGCTTTGTTGTCTATTTTTATATGCATATATATTTTAAATAGCAAATGAGGAGTCATTGTATATTTTATAATCTTTTTCCTTTACCAATATATTGTGATAACTTTTTTCTGATTATAAAACTAGTATGTGGTGCAGAAAACATGTGAAAATAAAAATTACTAATAATCACGCTGCCCAAAGATAACCCCTGTTAATATTTTGGTGTATGGAATAACCTTGTTTTCTTTACATGGTGTAATATATTGTGAGCATTGCTTCACTAAGCCAGTTGTTCCTAGCTGGACATTTTTGGATTTCTAAAATATTTTCACTATTGTAAATAACACTTTGGTGAATATCTTTGTATAAAATTCTTTATGCATTTTTGTTATTGTTTTAGGATAAATATGTGTACAAGTTGCTGAGGCACAGGATATGCCTCTTTCAAAGGCGCCTCCTGTATATTGCCAATTTGTCCACTAAAAAGGCTGTGCTAGTTTACGTTTCCATGAATGCCTGTTTGTTACCACACTTGATAGCACTAGGAGGTAAATTTTTACGAATTCTTTATCAACTGATAGGCAAGAGATTATTCCATTGTTTGAATTTCATTATGCTATTTGCAAGGCCACATTTCCATATATTTCTACTTTTTACATTATATCAATTATTTCATATATTTATTGTTTTATAAATTTTAGATTTATCTTCTGTGTTTTCTATCCATGTGTTCCTTTTCTATTGAATTGCAAGGGCATGTCTTACCAAGAATTCCCTCCATTTCATTATTTACCTTTTCATTTCTTACTTTTTTTTTTTTATATTGGGGATTGAACCCAGGCACACTTTCAACCACCAAGACACATCCCCATCCCATTTTGATTTTGATTCAAGGTCTTGCTAGATTGCGAGACTGGCCTCAAACTTGTGATCTTTCTGCCTCAGTCACCCAAGGCAGGTGTGTGCACCATGTCTGTTTTTTGTTGTTGTTGTTGTTGGTAGTTGGTGGTATTATTGTTATTTAAATATTTTGTATTTTATTGTAGTTGGACACAATACCTTTATTTTATTTTTATGTAGTGCTGAGGATCAAACTCAGTGCCTTGCTAGGCAAGTGCTCTACTGTTGAGCCACAATCCCAGCCTCAGTTGGTGGTATTTTGAAAGATGATTTTGTTTTATGTTTATAGTTCGGAGCTTCTGGATGTAATCAAATCTGTCACACTGTGCCTTTATATTTTCTTTGAGTAGAAAAGTATTTTTACCTCTATTATGACTATTTGGGGTTTGGTTTTTACATTTTAGCACTTGACATTATGCAGGTAAATGGTATGAGGCTTAAGAACCTGTATTAGTCAGGGGATTGGAGTTACCACAGAGTAACTTCAGAAAGATGGCCATAGCTCCAGCACTCCTGTCTAAGGTATTGCTAATTGGGGCAGACTAGGGTATGGTGGTATGTACTCTCCCAGTTCCCAGCCTGGGCCTTGCCAACTCTTCTGAGAGAGCATCAATTACTGCATAGGCAGCTAGCCTTGGATTTTGAAGACTTGATCCTACAGCCAGGCTTTTGTGTGTGAACTTGGTTTGCCAGGATAGTATAGTCCTTACCCATCTGCCTTGGGAGAGGCCTTCCCTGTCACACACAACTCCAACCCTGCATGATCCAGCGGGCCCTTGACTCACATGGCAGAGCTCCGCCTCTCTTCTCAATATCTTGCCCAGTCCCACTCCGTTGACTGAATTAATTCACTCTCATAAAGCCACCTCTCTTTTCTTCTAAAGGAGTATCTGAAGACCTCATCCTTCCCCTTGTGCCTTTCCATCAGCTTCCTCCACCGTGTTTCTGACCCACTGGTATCAACAGCTCCACCTCCAGCTGCATAGCTTAGCTCAATTCTGGTTTCTCAGAGAAGCCCAGATTGCATGTATGGCTACTCCCCTTTTCCTTCTAAACTGCATTTCTTTATTACTCAGTGTCCACACCCAGGGTGAGTGCCTGGATAAAAATCTACCCTTCCCCCCAGTCACCCTTTCATTCCAGATGTAAGCACCAGTGGCCACCTTCCCAGGTCCAATTAGAGGCTCTAGACTCACAGTAGCCTAAGGCAGAACAATGTCCTCTTAAGTTTACCAACCTCCTGGATCCCAAGTCTGATTCTCATCAACCAAGCTTGTTATGGAGCACCACTAAGCAGTTAATGATTATTCTTGTCGTTAACTAGGAGGGGAGGAGCTTATTCCTCATCTTCACCCATTTCACGCCTTTCAGGACTCTGCACTCCACACTGACAGCACTTCCTCAGACTGGACTAGCCCAGATAAAGAAGAGAACCAGGCTGCTTCTCAGCTAGCCAGCTTGATGACCTTCAATAAGACATCTTCTCTTGGGAGGTCAGACTAGATGATCTCAACTCTTTCAGAAGAGTTGTGAAGCAATGAAGAGGGGAAAATACATATATGGGAAGGTGGAACTTGACTGTATAGTTGGATGGGTTTGAGAGAGGTCCTCTGATGACTTGCTGGGGGTGGGGGATGGGTGAAGATTCCTATGGGAACTTAGAGCTCTGGGAAGCACACTTCACTGAGGCACCCATGGGTGACTTGTAGGGTATACCTCTGTCACACTAATTCAGAATCCTGCTCATCATTCTGACTGTATTGTTGGAGATCAGGTTCAGTTGGCTAACCCAGCCCTTAAACCCACTTAATTTCTTTTTATCCTGTTAGAGGAATATGATACTCTGAGAACCTAAGATTCTAAAATGATTATATCAGTATCTTTATTTGGCTTGGTGTGGTTCTATCATCTCTTGCACTGCATCCATGTAGACAGTGGTGGTAGAGAGCAAAAGTAACCTTTCCCAGTATGACTGTGATTATGAATTCTGCCCTGTGGCTTTTGATGCTGCTCTGGCTTACCAAAGGTCACCTGCCCTTGGCTACAAGAAAACCTAGTCCATTGCCTGGCCCATGTTAGGTGCACAGTAAATATTTGTTAAGTCAACATTGCCTAGTATATCCCTGAGTGTAGCAGTCTTCCATCCCTTTTCACCCTGCAGCTGTCTCCCTTATTTCGATTATGATTAAGTAAAAAGCTCCCTAAACTACTAGCAAAAGATGAGAATTTAGGCTTGAACTATTGGGGTATCTTCTGGGACCTAGTGGGAATATATGTACTTTTAGTTTCACACCTTCCCTCATCTTGCTCTTGGTGTTGCATATGTAATACTTCGTTGGGGTCAGTGGTGGGAACATATGAAAACATCTCTGGCTCAGCATATGAAAAAATTGGGAGACAGTAGGATTTGAACTGCACATTGAGATACACAAGATCTCATAAGAAAGTGCGCAATGTTGGATGACCCAGGTTTCCTCTTGCCTTAAAGATCCTAAGCATCTGTAAGCCATATAAAGAGACATTTGGAACAACTCTTTGGAGATGGCTGACTTTAGGATCATTCCCCAAACCTGCTAAGCTTTCTACTGAAACATCAAAAAGACTTCCCTTGCTGGGTATGGTGGAGCATGCTTATGATCCCAGTGACTCAGGATGCTGAGGCAGGAAGATCACAAGTTCAAGACCTACCTCAGCAACTTTGCAAGACCCTCTCAAAAAATGAAAAGGACTGGGGATGTAGCACAGTAATAAAGCATCCTGGGTTTAATCACTGGTGCCAAAAAAATAAAAACCAACTTCTTACACTTGCCAGCTTCAACCCTGGCTTCACTCCCCTTGGAACAGGAAGCTTGTGCTAAAATGTGAAGTAGCTCTCTTATTCATTCCCTCTACTTTTATGCCCCCCTCTCCACACCGCCATAGGTATCTCCATCTCACTGTTCATTCCTAAATTGGAGGAAACTAGGTTGATGAGAAATTCTGTTTTGACCATTTTCAGGCTCCTATGGGCAACAACAGGCCTAGCAAAAGCCTCCTTTCTAAAATCTTGCTTTTGCCTAACATCCCCTGGCTGCTGTCCCCATATGACCCAAATAAACAGATGATCATGTGAAGCCAGTAAGGCTGTTTGTTTTAAATAGCAAGCATCTCTACTAGGCTCTGGAGCAGATAGGATATTGGGGGCAAGGGAGAGGCTGACATTCAAATCTGTTTTGACCCCACTTTTGTCTCCCCGAAGAAAAAGATGTCTTCTGAATACTACTTCAGATATGTGCCTATTTAAATGGCATAGGGCTGTTCCCCGAAAATAATAAGAACTGGACTTATGCTTCTAGAAGACTCCAGGGTTCTAAGTGCTATGACCACTGAAGGAAAGCAGAAGAGAACAGACTGGATGGCATTATCTCAGGTCAATATGATGTATACTGTTTAGCTCCCTATCTCCCACCTACATATTCCCTTGAAATTTCCCATTTTCTCTTACTGTACAGAGTGGTCCAGGCCCAATCACAACTGAAACAGGTGGCAGACTCTTAAAGAAAGCACTATCAGGGTCAACACCAACCTAACCTTCCTAGGAAAAAGGCACTCACCCCATTTGGGCTGTTGTGTTCTAATCTCCCTTTGCTTCAGTGTCATAAGCAAAGTCAGCAGCACCCAGACATTCTCGTGTGTGTAATGACCTCTTCATGCTCAGCTCCAAATGCTGGGGCATTAAATATACCAAGATCAAAGGCCCCAATTTCAAGGTTCTTGATTTTCAGGATCATCTGTGCAGGGATTCCCCCCCCCCCCCAGGATGTACTATGGTGCCCTCAAAGGAAAGGGGCAAAGTGTTCATTTGTATTAGCTTTCTATGCTACTGGATCTTCTCCAGCTAATTCTGGAAATAGGCAAATATACCTCTGAGAACGCAGTTGAATGGGATGGATTGGCAGGATGGCCTTTCTCAGTGGCCCTTATAATGGTTTGTTTTCTGGCATTGTGTGATGGTGAAACCCAGGCTCCAGGATCCTGAAACCACTGGCTTTGCTCCCCACTCCTTGGACTGGGTAACCAAGTCTGGGGCCATAACTGAAGGTCCCATGCCTGGGCTTGGGACATCAGAGCTAGATAGATAACACTCTAGGGTGCCCTAAATATGCCTTCTGCCGACCTATCAACACCACTGTACCAATGGGGATTGTGTGACCTCCACCAAAGAAGCAGAAGAATAGGGTTGGGTTTCAGGTGCTGATTTTTGTAGCCCAATAGCAATGTGTCAAGTGGTCAGATCTGTTCCTGCCCAGCAGTTTGATATCTCTCTCTCTCTCTCTCTCTCTCTCTCTCTCTCTCTCTCTCCTCTCTCCTCTCCTCTCTCTCTCTCTCTCTCTCTCTCTCTCTCTCTCCTCTCTCCTCTCCTCTCCCCTCTCTCTCTCTCTCCCCCCAAATTGGGGGACCTGCCTCAAAACTGGCTTCAGAGTAGCCCGAGGGATCGGGGATAAATGCTCCTCCTCCTGTGGCAAGGAGCAATGGAACAAACATTAAATAAACTTAGACAAGTCCCTCCCTTTTCTGAGTTTGTTTCCTTATTTGTAAAATGAGAACATTTGGGCAAGTTAGCCTCAAAGGTCTTTCTGATTGTAGCCCTGTAACCCAGGCTCCCTAAGCACTACCATCAGGGAGAGGCGGGCGGGCGGCCCCGCCCCCCAGAGAGCGCTGTTAAAACCCGAGGCAGCTATCCCGCCCCAAGAGCCCAGCGCCCACCCCGGGATCTCGGTCGCCAGGCGCCAGGCTTCCGCCCTCCACGTTGTGGTTCCTGATTTGAGCCACACCCCCTTGGCCTGGACTGTGGACGCTTGGCCTTGACTCCGCTGACCAGGCCACTGAGCAAAGGGTGGTCTCTGGGGTGGTACACTCAGAGTCTCCACCCATATCAGACACTCCTGGACAAAGACAAGAATTTGGGGGAAGGAAAGGAAAGACATGGCTTTAAATGGGAGGATAGTGAAAAGTAGAAAGTAAGCCAGGGCATGACTGCGGGATTCCCCTTTAGGTGTCTCACCCTGTGTTTACCCAGTGGCCCCATCCGCACCCGCTGATGTGACCCTGCAGACACTGGCCCTTTAAACAGAAGGCTGGCGGTGCGGGGTGTCCATGTGGAGCTGCTCCATGCCGTGTTGTCCTGCCCGCCTATTGGCCCGCAGCCCGGTGACGTAGCCTAATAGGATGCGAACGCACTGCGGGGGGAGGAACAAAGACAAAAAGTGGAACCGGATCACGACTCCGCTTCCTCTGCTTTTTCTCTTGAAGTCTGCACCCGTCAGCTCCGCCCAGAGGCGGATCCCCGGGGAATTGCAACAGTCCGGTGGTAGCGGGATTTAGGTCGCGTGTGGGTGGGGAATGGAGACCTAGGGGTCAGGCCAGTCTGCCATCCTTAGGTTTCCCTGACCTGGAATATCCTTATTTGAGTTAACTTAAGTCTTGAATTTTCCATCCTTCCCTCCAGCAGAACATATTTCGTTGTGAATGACCCAAGCACGCAACCCTCGCTCAATTTGTGGCTTGCAATCGGGGCGGGGCGGGGCGAGGCGGGAAAGCGGAAATACAGCGCGCAAACCTGGCTCCATCTCCCCCCACCCCCACTAGAGCCACGTGTGCGCACGCCGTTGAGTGGGCGGGGCCAGCACCGCGCGACCCCGCCCCTCTCTTCGTGAGACGCCGCGGCCCTGCGGGCGGGGGCTCCGGTCCGGGCTTTGGCTGCGGCCCCGGTGTAGTAGCGGGGGCGGCGGCCGGGGGCAGCGCGGCTCCTTCCCTTGTTGTGTGTGTCGGTGCCTCCTCGCCATCTTGTTGCAAAGCCCTTTCTTGTCGGCGGGACTCCCGGGGACCGCGGGGCGGGAGGCATCAGAAGGGAGGAAGAGAGGGAGGGCAAGAAGAGAGGCAGTGCCGCCTTTTTTTTATCAGATTTTTTTTTAATTTGCAAATTTATATTTTGCAAATATTTTGGGAGACATAGATTTTTCTCCCTGTGCTCCCCCGTTCTATTCTGAGGAGTGCGCTGCGCCGCCCAACCCTGTCGCCCCCCGGAGGTGATCCCTCCCTCCAGCCCGCCCGCCAGCCTGACCTGTGCCTGGCTCGCGGGCCGCAGCCTCGGCCCCGGCGCGCCCCCGGCCGCCCTCGGCGCGATGAGCATAGAGACGCTACTGGAGGCGGCCCGCTTCCTGGAATGGCAAGCGCAGCAACAACAGAGAGCACGTGGTGAGCGGCCGGGCTGGGCCCCTGGGGCACCCGGGAAGGGGAGGCGAGTGACCCCGGATCCCGAACACACACGAAACCTCAGGCAGCACTCCCCCTTCTCGGGCGGCCTGAGAAGTCGAGCAGCACACGGCTCCCCGCAAGAGCCGCCGCCTGGGAAGAGTGATGTGGGCAGTGAAAATAATTAATGAATTCATTAACATGCAGCGAAGGACCCGGCTTCTGCGGCCGCCACCTCAACTGCTTGGCACCCCAGTGCACCTTCAATGTGTGGGGGGATCCTTTCGCTGTGGTGGCCGGCTGTGCCCTTCTTAGCGCTGAGGATGTGTGAGCCGGGTGGGGGGGTAGGGTGAGGAATGGTGTTGCGTGGGGGTGGCAGACCTGCGTGTGCGTGCGTGTGTGCATGGGGGATGTGTGATCGGAGCTTCGGGAGAGGATGAACGGACGTGTACACGGGAGTGTGTACAGCACACAAGTGGGCGTGTGTGTAACGGGCTGGGGGAGGGGATTACTCTACGCCGTGCAGCTCTCCGGCTTTCCTGGCCCCGGCGGGAGGGTGCGGGGGGGCGCTCCCGGCAGATCTACGCGCTGCTTGGGGCGGAGGCGGCCTTTGCAGAATGAAATGACATCGTGTGTCTTATGATCCTGGCCAGCCCTGCTGACCCCGCCTCCGAGAGCTGCGCTGGGTTGCGCGTCAGGGGTTTGGGTAAGAGCCGGGCTGATTGGGTGTCTGCGAAATGGCCTGCGGGTCGCTGGGGGCTGTCCCCGGGCCCCCCTAGCCCCACCGGACTTTAGCAGGTGTGGAATGTGGCGTGTCTGCGCGTTCCAAACCCGCTCTAGACTGGAATGTTGCGTGTGCCTGCGTTCCAAGCCCGTTGGTTACACCGGGTGGTGACGTGGACGGGCCCCGCCCCCGACCACGTGCACGGGGGACACTCCCGCTGGGGATGGCGCGGCCCAGCCCCTCCTAGCAGCCTCGCGCTAGGCCGGGGGCGGGGCCTGGGCGGGGCCCGCTAGGGGCCCTGTGTCGGTTGGGCCCGGGTCCTGACCGCTGGGCATCTCCCTGGGAGAGCGTTTGCCCTTGGAAGGAGGAGCTGCGCCGCTCTCTCCTTTTTCTCCCCAGCCTTCTTTTTTGATCCCAAGGCGAAAGAAACCCTCAGACTGCAGGACAACAAGACACTTAGAGCTCAGGGCGCACATCTTCCCACTAAGCCCCAAAACGTTCTCATTAGGTCCTCCTCGCAACATCCCCTCGCCATACTCTGGAATGAGCCAAACTGAGAAGGGGCAAACTTTGTCGTTCCCTCGATAGAAAAGATGAGGATTTTATGGTCCTATCCTCACGCGCCCTTTAGTGGTGGTCTGTAGCTTCAGGGTGCTGCAGAAATAAAGGCGAGGAGAAAGACCACTGCTTTCAGGAATTCTGCGAGGGGCTCAGTCTGAGAACTGTGTGTGTGCAGTTCCCTGGGACTTCTGTGACCTCTCAGAACCCTTCGGCCCGGTTGGTTGTGGCGGAGAGAGTGCTTTGCCCTCCTTTCCTTTTTCTCTGCCTATTGTTGCTTCAATGATGAGTCATGCAGGAGGTAGTAGTGTGGTGTGTGTGTGTGTGTGTGTGTGTGTGTGTGCAAACGCGCGCGCGCACTTGCCTCCCTGCAGCTTGTGCTGCCGCTGCTGCTGTTTCAGTGGTGGGCAGGGGGAATGGCAGCGGCCATGGGGTGGAGGAGCTGCAGGTCCGTAGGCTCCGAGGGACCGACTAGCCTTTCAAGGTCAAGAGTCACTGGAAATATTCGACACACAGATACTTGGACCTTGCAGAACTGATGGGCTAGGACATCTGCTCACATGCCCCCTCCCCCTTGTCTTTGGGGTCCAGAGCAGGGTCAGGTAATGGACAGTGCTAGTAGTGACCCAGAATGTCCTAAGTGTGGTCCCAGGAGTGGGGGGATGATTGTGCCACCATTAATATATGCAATTCAAGAGTGCCAACATGTCCCCACTGTGTATCAGGCACTGCTAGAGGTGAACCACATTGACTCTACTATCTCCCCGGGGAAGCTTCATTTCACCCTTGCCTTACCTGCAGGATGCCCAGCCATTTGGGGAAAGGGAAAAGACTCCACTGTCAGCCCTCCCATACTTGCCCAGTTAAATCACTCCAGAGCTGATCATTAAAATGGAAGAGGATGATGTATGCAGCTCTTACAAAAGAATGCTAAAAAGCAGATTTTTCTGAGATGTTGCAAAGGCCTGCTCCTCCCCCCCCAAGTAGTGAGAAATAGGGGCAAGCCAAGTTTAGCTGCTGGGTCACAGCTTCTTGGTACTGGATCAGGAGGACTTGGGGATGGGTGAGTGCTGGAAAGCTAAATCTACTCAAAGAACTCATGTGTTTATGATCAAACATTCATTTTCTTCTTGAGGTTCTGTCCTCTGACCTGGAGTAGGAAGAGAGCGAGAAGAGGGTGAGATGTGAACCTGATGACCAGCTTTGAACAGAGATCCTCTTGTCCGCTCCCCACTTTCAACCTCCAGGGCAGGTTTCCTGGCCTAGACCAGACAGTTTGTTCCCATGATGAACCTGAGGATGTATATGCACATGAGTCAAGTGTGAGAAATGAGTGAGGAAAGGGCAAAGCCATCCTGGTGCTCTTTAGTAGGGCCTGGCCTTGTCTTTCCCAGCATTCATGGAGGTGACTTGGACTGGATTCTTCCCAGGAAGCTGACTGGAGTGTCTAGAAGTTGCTGACCATATCCTGTCTTGGGCCTGCCATATGTGCAAAGCTCTCTGGTAGCATGTATATAAGGACAATGGCTGAGCACATTTGAGCCCACCCAGTTTGGATCCACTTAGCACTATGCCTACTGAGTCTCTGGGCCACAGTAGGTTGGGAAGGTGGCAGGCAGCACCATGTGGGCTAGAACTGTCTCCTCTGTATTACATCAGAGGATCACACTAAATTCTTTGGGGGCAGTATCTAGGTAGAGCCAAGGGAATGTGCTTGAGTATGCATGTGCATGAATAAGGGGAGGGGGTTGTACTTGTGGGTATAGCAGAACATTCTTCTAAAGAGCCTAAACACAGATTACTCCTGAAGGAGGTCCCAGAAACCAGTAGTGTACTGCTGGGTGGGAAATGAATTAGAACTGAGGAAAAAGGGTAGGAAGCTCTAATGGGCTGCTCTGGCCTGGGGCAGCCCTATTCTTCACTCTAGTCAAGAAATATGCTGGTCCAGGTGTGATAGAGCTTTGCCATTCTCCTGGGTCTTTCCTGGCACCTGTGAGGCACACCTGCTTGGCTCTGGGGGATGCAGAGAGAAGGAAGGGGAAAAGGAAGTTGCTATCTCCTAGGTAAGCTTTGGACTTGCTTTAAAATATGAAGTTTCAAGGGTAGCTCAGAGATACAGCACTTGCCTTACATGAGAAAGGCCCTGGGTTCCGTCATCAGCACCTCAAAAAAATAATATGCATTTTCCACTCAATCTGGGTTCCTAGGACACCTGTTCTTGGACCTTGGGGTGCTGTCCCTCCCAGTAGTATCAGCTTGTCTCAAGGCTTAAGAAAGTTCTATCAGTCAAAGGAGTGGAGGTGGTGTTATGCCCAGAGCTTGAGGGCTTGTTTTGCAGGGAGCATACTGGGGTGTCCCAGGCTGGGCCTAAGAGCAGTTCTGTGTCTGGAACTCTGCAGGTTTCCTTGCCAATGTGGTTTGTAAGAAGCTGGACCACAGCAAGCTGGTTTTCTCTGGGGCAGTAACATAAGCCAGTGCTGGCTGGGAGAGGCCAGGGAGAGCAAGGCCTTTCCTTATTGGAGCAGGCCTGCCCCAGCCTGGCAGCTCTCCTTTCTGAAGGGCAGGAGAGATAGGAAGAGGGCCATGAACTGGCAGCCCTGAACTCTGACTGCTGGGAAACCATGAGCACTTCCCTCTGAGCACTTCCTCTATACTTCCTCCTTTGCTTCTTCCCCACCCTGGGAGGGGCTAGGACAGGCGTGGCTCACCCTGGAGTTGATTGGCCAAATGGCCCCGGATCCTCAGGTTTTCTGGGACTCCTGAGCAAGCTGGACTTGGGGGGGGGTGCTTCCCTCCTCCCTAGGGAGGACTTAGCCCCCACCCTACATCACATGGGGTGGCTTGTGTGTTTGGGGCGTATCCAGTGCTGTCAGCTGCCTTAGTCAGCACTGGGGGAAGGAGAGGGCTGATTGTCCAGCCTCTCCCTGGCTTGGAGGTGGCCCAGCTCTGTATCCAGGGAACTTAATGGTGGGACCTGAGAGAGGACTGGACAGGGGGCAGATAAGAGAGGGCTGTGGATCAGGAGAGGACCTCTCCCCTTACCCTGGTCAGCCAGCTCTCTAGAATCCTCACCTTCCTGCTGGGCTTCCAGCACAAAGGTCTGGGGACCTGCTAGACCATCCTACCTACCTCTTTTTAGCTTGTGCTTCTGCTGCTAGGGACAGGGGGGATTTGAGAGAAATGAGTCCTAGCACAAGAAGGTGCAAGTGTTTTTGCTGAATGGTCCCTGAGGAAAACAGAGGCCTTGACCTAGCCTGGGAGTTCTGGGCCATTTCCTTGTGAGGTGAAGATGATATCCCTGCTCTGTGACTTGGGGCTCTTGTGAGGATGGAAGGAGGTGAGTGTATGTGAGAAGACACCTGCTGAGCTTGTGTTGATACAGCAAGTACTGGAAGTACAGGACATCCAGCCAAGTGTCAGGAGACTTGCTGGGTGACCCTCAACAAACACTTTGCTGCTCTGAGGTCATTTATCACATCTGTGATAAAAAGATCCTGTCTGCATTCTAGAAGATGCTGGAGAACTATTGTGGAAAGCCTTCCATAGAAGCTGTGATCTATCAGTGTCCTCCTCCATTCTTCTGTAGTACCCTGAGCAGTCTTTTGTGGCCTGGTCTCTGCCCAGCTCTGTGACCTCCTCATCTCTCTCTCTGGGCTCTCAGCCCTGTTGCTCTTGACCCTTCCTGCTCATCACCTGTAAACCCAGCTTGCCAGGTCCACAGCATCCTTTCTCTCCACTCCAGCTCTGCCTCTTCTCATCCCCTATCCTTCCCCCCATTCTGACCTGACATCCTGTCACTTGTCATTCCACTCCCTGCCCCAGGCTGTGAGCTCCAGTGGCATGGACTAGGCCTGCTTTCTTTTGTTCACTGATGTGTCCCCAACACTTGGCTAAATCCCTGTCTGGAATGGTTGGGTATGTGTGGTAGGCAGGGCTCACTGACCAGAGTGGGATAGAGTCAGAGGATGGCTTAGGGTTGGCAGACAGAAGTGGGGACCCAGGACCTTTGGCTCTGCTGAGGAAACTCCACCACCACCCATTGTTTTCTCTGTGTAGAGGAGCAGGAGCGCCTTCGCTTGGAGCGGGAGCGGGAACAGGAGCAGAAGAAGGCCAGTAGCCTGGCCAGGCTGGCACATGCCCTGCCTGTGGAGGAACCCCGCATCGAGGCACCACCCCTCCCCCTATCCCCACCAGCACCCCCACCAGCACCCCCACCACCACTTGCTACCCCCACCCCATTGACTGTCATTCCTATTCCTGTAGTGACCAACTCCCCCCAGCCACTGCCCCCACCCCCACCGCTGCCTCCTGCAGCCCAGCCTCTGCCCCTGGTACCTCGTCAGCCAGCCCTGGTCAGCACCCCTGGACTCAGCATTAAGGAGCCTGCCCCACTTCCTACCAGGCCACAGGTGCCCACCCCTGCTCCCCTCCTGCCAGACCCGAAGACCACTATTGCACCCACTGGCAGCCCCAAGCCTTTGCAACCCCTCCCTACACCCATCCTGACCATAGCACCACACCCTGGAGTCCAGCCTCAGCTAGCCCCCCAACAGCCACCCCCACCTGCACTTGGGACCCTGAAGTTGGCACCAGCTGAAGAAGTCAAATCCAGTGAACAGAAGAAGAGGCCTGGGGGGTGAGTGAACTGTGGCAGACTTGGGGCTGGTGGGTTGGACAGGAGAACTGTCCACCCTATGGGCTGTGTAAGGTACCTTAACTGAAGGAGCCTTTCCAGGCATATCCTGTCTAACTTAGAAGCACCTCCTGTATTTGAACACATTATTGTACCTATCTGTATCCTGGAATGGATATATGGCCATTGCCCTCTTTTGTCCTCAGACTTCTGTGTCCTCTGACTCCCTCCAAGGTTAGGAGGCATTTCTAGGTCTTTTCACAGAATACTGAATTATGGGCTTCTTGGGTAGGGTCTGGCTCAACTGGCTGCTTCTCTGAGTCCTAGGAGCCCTTATGTCCCCTCAGTTGGACAGGTGGGATGAAGGGGTTACAAAGGTTGTGGGTTTGAAGCAGGCCAGAGATCTCCACCCAAAAGACCCTTGCCATAATTAAGCTGTTTCTCTTGTCAGATCAGCAGGATGAGCGTAGATGTGCCTTTCAGGAGGTGGACACAGCTCAGCACAGGGTGAACACCTTCCACTGCTGTTTTATACTTCCAGAGAGAATGTTGGGGACAAAAAAAACGGTGTCATTTGGGGTTTGGCGGCGGGGATCAGGAAGGCAGCCTAATCAGGCCCTCCTCCCTGAGCCTCCTGTCTATCTGGGTTTCAGGATCGGAACCAGAGAAGTCCACAACAAATTGGAGAAAAACAGGTGTGTATGCGTGCGTGTGTGACTTTGGACCCACCCTGCCTGCCCCTGGACTCACCTATTTTCGGTGACTCAAAGCTCCCCTTGGGCCTTCCTTCTCTGCCCCCAGCCCCTGTTCTCCCCCTCTGGTGCTGGCTGACCAGAGCTTGCTCCCTCTCCCCAGGAGGGCCCATCTGAAGGAATGCTTTGAGACCCTGAAGCGCAACATCCCTAACGTGGACGACAAGAAGACCTCGAATCTGAGCGTGCTGCGAACCGCGCTGCGGTACATCCAGGTATGGGGGAGGGAAGCAGGGCCGGGCGGTGCCGCGACGGCCGCAGCGCCAGCTTCCTCCCGGCTCCGCAGCCCTCCCTTCCTCCTTCGGCCCCGCCCCGCTCTCCCGCGCTTGCGGGCTCCCCCGCCCGCCTCCACGCGGGCGCCGAGCACATGGCCCGGCTGACGTCAGCGGGGCTCCCAGCCCGGGAGGGGGCGGGCAGAAGGGCGCGCCTGCGCGGGAGGGCCAAAACGCTCCACTCCCCGTCCCGCCCCTCCCCCCTGCGGCGCGTCCGTGCAACCCCAGCGGCCCAGAGTTGATGAGATGCGCTCCGCAAACTCGCTCAGTGTCCCTGTGTCCACCCCTCGCTTTGTGCCAGTTAGCGCACCGTGGGTGAGGAGGACTCGGATCAGGCCTGGCGTCTCCCGGCTCGGAGCCCCTGGGCGGAAATCCGACTATCTTTAGTGGCGGGGGAAGGGAAAAGGGGGACACCTGGGCGTGGTCTCCGCCAACACTGCGTCGCTCCAGTGAAGCCCCCGCATTTTTTCACAAGATGAAGACCCTTTTGGTGTGCGCAATGATATCCCATGACCCGCATTTGGGAGTTAGAGAATGCGGCGGTTTTACTGGGTAGCCAACAGCCCCCGGGGTTTCAGAATCTTAAAAAATTAAGTCACGTTTTTATCTGTCTCCGTTGAGAAAAGGGTTTGTTGTTTTCTCAGGGTGCCTTCCTGGCTATGTGTTCCCTTTGGGCCAGGACTCCGTTCTGCGGTAGTGGGGGGTGCTGCCAGATAAGACAGTTGCCATGACGGCCTGGAGTTTCGGTTTCCCTGGAAACCGGCGAGGGTTTCCGCGTGCTAAGGAAATCATGGGGGATGGGCCTGGCGGCCACGCTCGGCTGCCGCGCAGTCCAGGAGCCGTTGGGGGAATGGGAGGGACTTAAGACTCCCTGCTGCGCGGGACCTGGGGGTGGGGATGAGCCCCGGGGTCTCCCTGTCTGCCTATTTCGGAAGGTTTTGGAGGCTAGACGGCGTCAGAGCCCCAGTGGGAAGGGTGGCCAAGAGGGATTGGCAGGATGCCACAGCCCAACCTTGGTTTGGAGAGCCGGGTCACAGCCCTGAAGTAACTGGAGCTTGACTTGCTGGAGGTGGGGGCGGAGGCGCGGTTCGCCGCTGCGCCTGTTAGTCCCTCCAAGTCTCCGGCAAACGCGCGCCTTTCCGCCCGCCCTACCGGCAAGGGGAGGGACTGGCGCGCATCCAAGCCGCTTCCCGGCAGCTGGGAGCGAGATCACGGATTGGCTGGGTAGGCTTCGGGGCTGGGACTCCTAGGCGCGCCGAGGGAGGGTGCGGCAGGCTGGGAGTGACGCAGCAAAGCCAGTCCGCATGGGTGCGCGCGTGCTCCAGGAGGGGCGGGGCCTTGCTTGTGGCCCGAGTGGCCTGGGAGCCCCCCCCCCCCCCCCCCCCCCGCCGAGCGCACATAGGCTATTAGAGGCAGAATAGCTTATTTCCGGGATATTTTTGCAGATTTCTGGCTTAGATATAATTTATTCGTTCTTAGCCATGTGATCTCAGCAAATCCTTGTAGACACGCAGTGACATTTCCTATGAATATCACTTTTTTTTCCTGCATGGCAGTTCTAAGTAGGTAAAAGTAATAGTGCCCCAGAGATATTAGGAGGATTGAGATTGTTCAGGCAAATAATTCGTGGTACTGTGAATTCAGTAGTTATTGAGAAATAACAAGGATAAAATGGCGAATTTCTCTATAGGTGCATACTTGGGGGGGGACCCAAATATGGATTTGAAAAAAATTCGGAAAGACTCAGTGGAGGCTGTAAAATAAAGCTAGTTAGTATCAGACTTGGGCTGAGTAGGAAGTGGGTGGTACCTCAGGCTTACCATAAATGCTTGTCTGGATGTTGTAATGGAGGCAGAAACAGCAGAAAACTCACAAGTTTGTGGAAACCCTCAAGGACACTCATTTATTTTTTCCTTCAAGTACTTTTAGCTAGGCCCTGAGTCTGCTTCTAAGGATGCAGTGGAGAGCCAAGAAGAAAGGGTGGGTTTCTGTCCTGGAAGGTTTGATCTTGTGGCAGATTGTAAACACATGAACACAGAACTGTGCCATAAGGATACAGTAGGGACAGGGTTGTCAGAATCTGGGAAGTTACAGAGGTCATCCCTGAAGAAAGGACCTGCAGGATAAGTTGGGGTGAATGTGGCAAAGTAGAGGACAAAGAACCCAGAACAGGCCACAGTTTCCCCAGCAGGAGGGAGGAGGATGCATTTTTGGAAGTGAAAGATGGTCAGGAGGGTTGTCCCGCAGAGACATGGACTGCAGGAAGTAGATGAGAGTGGAAAGTTGGTCCTGGAGGAATTAAAAGAGCCAAGTGGACGGAGTGCTCTGGTGACATGTGGAGAGCAGGAGGCTATAGGAAGGTGTAGTCCTTAACTGGTCCCCAGTGTTACTTGGAGGTGGTAAAGGATTTGGAGAAGACCATAGGCGTGGACACAGAAGGAAGAGGAGGAATGTGTGTCCAGGTAGTCACAGAAAGGAAGTGAGTTTACAACAAAGTGTTATGAGCTGGGGTGTAGTTCAGTGAGTAGAGCACAGCATGTGCGAGGCCCTGGATTCCATCCCAACACCACAGAAAACAAAAAATGAAGTAGTGTGGACTAACATTAGATCATGGGGAAACTTTGCAGGGACCTGTAGGCCTGTGGGGAACTGGACTAGGTGAGAAGAGGTTTTGGCCCCTGACACTCTCTCTCCCTGACCCAGAAGTCTAGCCTCCCTGCAAGTGGGTAGAGTTCAGGATGACGCTTCCAGCCCCCAGCCACCAGGTTCAAGTGAGGGCTGAGTCACCAAGGGCCTGTCGATGTTGCCTCATCTGATGTCCTGTCCAGCCCTCAGGGGCAGAGCCAGGTGAGAAGCCACACATGGGTGTGTGTGTGTGTAGGGGGAGGGAAGGTGTTTTCCTGTTCTTTCTAGCAGATACATGGGGAGAGGAAGGTTTTACTCAGTGCCAGGATGATGGAGGGGGGGGGTCTTTGTGATCAGGGACTGGGGTGTCAAGGCCAATATAGAGGATGGCTCTATCTGGGTATTTGTTGGAGGCACTAGTGGTTTGAGGCATTTCTCACTGTTGAGGTAGAAGTTTGGGGCTGCAGGAGGAGTGTGGGGAAGTTGGGTCTAGCAGGTGGGTGGGATTGAAGGCATTGCTATGCCAAGTCAGGAAAAAGATTCTGCAAAACTGCAGAACTGCCTCAAGGGAATGCAAGCAAGGGAGGCTTGAGACTGCTGTACTCCTGTGATTCTCCCTGCCATAAAGGGGAGAGAAAGAACAGAGGTGGGAACTGAAGTGCTCACTGGAAAGCAGGGCAGCAGGCTCACAGATCCTTCCCTGGGGCTGAGAATACACCCTTTGTAACTTCCTGGTCACTGGTAGGGTCAGAACCGTTCTTACCTTCGCTTGACGTGTGTGTAGAGGTGGAAAGACAAAACATAAGCGCATGAAATATTGGGTAGTCTTACAAGCCAGTATTTGACTCAAAGTCCCATCTGACAAGTCTCCCAATTAACGTTCAGCTGTGTGTTATAGGTGCTGAGAAGGGCTCTGAGGCAGGGGATGTCAGGTGAGGCCTTGGGCTGGGGAAGAACAGTGGAGGAGGTGGGGACTCAGGTGTAGTCTTGGAGCAGAATAAGACTGGGGATTGGAAGGTTCAGACTAAGACAAGCTGTTCAGTTTGGTTTGTGCGCTCCGTACCTGGATGTGACTGGCAAACCTCGGAAGCTAGGTGCTCAGGAACAGATGGAGAAAGGGACTCAGGAGGCAGCATGGAAAGGAGCATCTATCTGCCTTGTCTGGTGGACACAATGGTCATGACATGCGTAGATAAGCAGAGGCTGCTAACAAGGAAGCCTGAGAGACAGAAGAATTGAGTTAATGAAGTGTTAAGAATCATGGATGCTCAGGAAAGACTGACGTAGACAGGAGCTGAGAAGGATATGAGCTGTCCTTTTGGAGATGCTAATAAGCCTGTGCACAGGGAAACTGGAGATGCTTATGATAGGGGAGTGATGCCTAGTGTGAAAGGTCAGCACCTGAGAGTTAGGAGGTCATCAGGACCTGGAGGAGAGGGAGATGGTGCCATGGATAAGGGAACCCCTCAGGAAAGTGGGTAACACATCAGCATGGTGGGGAAGGACTGACCTGGAACCTGTGGAGAAGAACAGAAGCTTCTGTAGGGGTGCTTAGCAGAGTCAGGGGCTGCTATCAAGTTCCCCGGGAGCATTTCTTGTCAGCCATGGGGCACATTTCAGGACTTGGGGTTCCAGCAGCCTGTGGAGTCTGGAGAGCTATAGGCAGGGTACTGGGTGGGGACAGAGTGTAACAGCCTTGTCTTGAGGCAGCACAGGTGGGCACTGTGAGGAGTAGCTAGGAGGTCAGAAGGGAGATGTAGATCCCAAAACTGCTCAGGAGGAGATGGAGGCAGGTCATGGGGAGGGGATGCTGTCACAAAATAAGTGGGTCTTATTCCAAGGATGTCAAATTTACCAAGGGGATGAGTGAATGGTGGGGTGGAGAGAATTTCAGGATTGTTTGGGGTCTTTGAAAATGGGTTGTAAGGAGGGTAGCTTGTGGCATCAGTGACTGAGCAGAGTGGGACAAATGGTGATGGGGGCCTTGGGTGTGACCCTGGAAGTAGAAAGGCTGCAAGGAGGGAAAATGGGGCAAGAGGCAGTGAAGCCCCTCAGGGCCGAGTCAAGTGGAGGGTGAGGAAGGGCCCCCCGCTGCTTGGGTGAGAGCTGTCGGACCTGTGCTCACTTCACTTCACTAGCACCTGCCCAAGAGCCCTCTGCCTGGGATGCTGGGCCTTGTTGGACAGAGCCGCGGAGTAGGAGTCAGGCATGGTCTCCAACAACTTCGATCTTCCTGGGCTCCCTGGTCATTGCAGACTTGTTCCTGTTGGCCAGCTGATGTGGAGAGAGGTTTTAAGATACCATAAGCCCCGTGGCTACTGCTCAGGGTTCCCTGCTGTCCCTTGCCCTGTCCCTCAGTCCCTGAAGAGGAAGGAAAAGGAGTATGAACACGAGATGGAGCGACTGGCACGGGAAAAGATTGCCACGCAACAGCGACTGGCAGAACTCAAGCACGAGCTGAGCCAGTGGATGGATGTGCTGGAGATCGACCGTGTGCTCCGGCAGACAGGCCAGCCTGAGGACGACCAGGCCTCCACATCAACAGCCTCTGGTGAGCCCTGGCCCCTGCACTGTTCCCACCATGCTCAAATGTTGTCCCCAGCTCCCCTGGCCAAATTTTGGCCTGGTAGAAAAGATGCCCCCTGTCCTAGCCTTGTTATTTCCCCAAACTCCCTTGGGTGTTAATACCTCCTACCACTTGTTTCCCACACTGTTCTGACATGCTCCCTGCCCTCTTCCCCACAGAGGGTGAGGACAACATAGACGAGGATATGGAGGAGGACCGGGCAGGCCTGGGCCCACCTAAAATGAGCCATCGTCCCCAGCCGGAGCTGCTGAAGTCCACCCTCCCACCCCCCAGCACTGCCTCCGCGCCTCTGCCTCCCCACCCTCACCCTCACCCCCACCCCCATCCAGTGGCCCTGTCTCCTGCCCACCTCCCTGTGCAGCAGCAGCCGCCACAACAGAAGACCCCTCTGCCTGCCCCTCCTCCCCCACCGGCCACCCCTGCCCAGACACTGGTACCAGCCCCAGCCCATCTGGTGGCCACTGCTGGGGGCGGCTCCACGGTCATTGCCCACACGGCTACCACCCATGCCTCAGTCATCCAGACTGTGAACCATGTTCTACAGGGGCCGGGCGGCAAGCACATTGCCCACATTGCCCCCTCTGCCCCCAGCCCTGCTGTGCAGCTGGCACCTGCCACACCTCCCATTGGCCACATCACAGTGCACCCTGCCACCCTCAACCATGTGGCCCACCTCGGCTCCCAGCTGCCCTTGTACCCACAGCCTGTGGCAGTGAGCCAGCCAGTGGCAGTGAGCCACATCGCCCACACCCTCTCGCACCAGCAAGTGAATGGCACAGCCGGACTGGGGCCCCCAGCTACAGTCATGGCAAAGCCAGCCGTGGGGGCCCAGGTGGTACACCACCCCCAGCTGGTGGGCCAGACAGTGCTCAACCCTGTGACCATGGTCACCATGCCCTCCTTCCCGGTCAGCACATTAAAGCTGGCTTAAGGATGAGGCCACTCAGGCCCCCCAGTGGGGGTGGGGGGGGGACATGTCCCCCACTCTCCCACCCACCAGCTCCACACATTCCAGCCAGGCCCACCCCACCCACACACCCCCAGGCCTCCTAGGGGAAGGGGGTGCAAAGACTCTGAGCCAAGGAAGGGAGGCCCCCCATGGAGTTGGGTACAGGGCAGGGAGTTACCCCACTGCATTGGGACTTGATGACTGATGAGGACACGCTAGTGGATGTGACGCCCATTGGGCCTAGTGCCAGTTCCATTGCCACTCCTGCCTGTCCCCCAAGATGAGCACGATGTGACATCGTGTTTTCTGGCTTCTCCCTACCCTGCCCACTTTGTACTGCTGCTGCTATTGCTCTCTCTGGTGGGGTGGCTGAGCACCTGGGCCCTCACTCCCAGCCTCAGTGTTTTCCTCCCAGGCCTTTAGAGGGAAATGGGGAAGCAGGACTGAAGCCACTTGGCCCAGAAAGCTGGGGACAGGTGGTGAGGGGTCCTATTCTGAGTATAGGTGTCAGATCCTAGGCAGTGGCTGGTCTGGAATTGTGCCTGAACATGTGGGTGCCCTGGCCTGGAGCTCTTTGATGTGGTTGGGGTCACTATGATTTGTTACAGTAGAAACTATTTAAAACGATTTTCTACCAACAATAAACAAAACCCAAGCTGTTGCCAAGCTTTTCAACCCCTGCCACTGGGCTCTTAGCCTCTGGAGGACAGGCTGAGGTTTGGCTGGAGAAGGTGGGGCTTCTCTTTCCTGCCGTCTTCCCTTATCCTTGCAGCCTCCCAGGCCTGGCCTGAGAGGAGAGCTACTCTGGCCCTCTATCCCCATCCTTGGTTTGACCTTTGACTTCAGAAAGCAGCCCAAGGTACTGTCTACCATTCACTCCTGGCTCTTTAATTTCTGCTCTGTGGGGCACTTTCCCAGGGGATGGGGGTGCCTGGGCATCTGTGGATTTGGGGCCTCCTCCTCCAGCTTGGGAGACATGGACCAGCAGCTGGTCTTGGTTCTAGGAGCTTAGAAGCCACAGTGTTGAGGCATTAGGAAGTTCAAATCCAGGGGCATGGCCAAAACCCTGAACCTTGCCCCAAACAGGCCCTGGGGACTTAAACATTAGAGAAGGTAACCAGGCCAGAGCCAAGGGTTATTGACTCCTCGGGAGCTGCTGCTTTTGCTCCATCATATTTGTGTTCCCTCTTCCCCCTTTCTAATGGGTGGTTTTGAGGGTCCCCTGCAACGCACCACCACCTTCCTCTGAGGAAAGGGCCTTAGTTGAGTCAAGAGGAGGACTGAGCCTGGGGTAGGGTGAAGCAAAGGGTTCTGTGCTAGGGGTTGCCAAGTTCCCTATCTCTACCAACTGCTTTGGCTTCTTTTTATGTGGATATTTATTATTATAAGTGGCCTTGTGTCAGACACACTCAGTTACATGCACGTGTGCACATTCAGCTCCCCACTGGACACTCACTGATGGCCTTTTGGTTGATGGGGGGAGGGGGGAAGAAGTGAGTGTCCCTAGGTGTGAAGTTTGCATTGATGGGGTGCTGGGCAGGCAGGAGAACCAGGAAGGGAGAGCTTAGGACCCTTGGAAGTGCCCTGCCTGCTGGCACTGAGGCGGCCAGCAAAGGTCTTGAATAGATTCTCCCTGGAAATAAAGACTTCTTAGATGCTCTAAGAATCCTTCCAGTTCCTTCGTGGTCCTAGAGCCCTCCCAGGGGACTTTCCTTATTTTCATTTGACTCCTGGGGTGGGGAAGGTGGATGGCCTAGGACCAGGTCCCCACTGGGACCTGTGGGAGGACTGTGGTACTCATCCTACCCAAACTCAGCAATCCTGCCCCACAGGCTGGCTTCCCCCCTGCCCCTGAAGCCACCTCCATACTGACACCCTAGCTCCAGGGGGGGCAGCTTTACTGTTATTGTGACAGTGGGAAGAACAGGTTGGTGCCTGCACATTCAGAGCACTTTGGTGACACCCCCACCCTCACCCATCCCCATGCTCACCTCTCCCAACGTCCTGAGGCCAGTTCCAGAGTTCAAACTTGTGTTGGCCAGTTGCCCTTGGGCCTGCACAAATACCTCATCATCTACCTGCCCTTCCCCAACCCCCCAGCAGTGGGGGCCTCCAAATCTAGTGCCGAATGACTATGTCCAGATTGGTGACAATGGGTGTTGTTGCTGTTGTTTTGTTGTTTGTGAACGCTGTGATGCCGTGTGCCCAAGTGGACAGCCACCTCCCAGCCCTTCCTTGGGCATCTCCCTTCTGAACTGTTAGGACCACATCTGTCCTCACCCTGTGGGACCGCCTGGCCCTTCCCTCCCTAGCCCTTCCAGCCTGGGACACACACATACACACACATCTTACCTCTCATGCGTGTTTTACCTTTTGATGATGTTCAGAGTGGCTCACTGGCTGGGAGTCTTTACCTCGGGGAGAGGGGGAGGATGGTTCCTTGGGGGGCCAAAGAAAGGCAGCAAATGCCTGGAGGGTAGTTGGGTCCCCATAACCCCTGCTCTCTGGGAACAACTGCTTCTCCCCCCCCATCCCAGGGTCCCACCCCCAAACCCCAAAGAGGTGGCCCTTGTTTACAGTGAGGACTCGGTCACTGTGTCTCCGTTTCCTGAAATATAAACTGTAGCAACCCCAGACTGTAGAGATTTTTATGTGTTTGGATACATCTGCTGTGTGGGAAAAAACAAAAAACTACAAAAACCCTAATTTTGTACATATTGTATTTTTACTATTGAATTGTATTCTAGTGGCTGTTCATGCTCCAAGACTTTAGGTATTGAGACATGAATACTATCCATGTAATAAGCACTTGCCTGGAGTAAAACATAAAACTGAAATAAACCTGCACTGAAACCTGAGATTGGAGCTGCCAACTTGCAGCATCTGGGTCATTTTATTGCAAAAGGAAATGGGCCTGTGGGGAAAGAGATCCAGCAAGAACCTTACCCTGGGATATTTGGGGGACACAAATGGACAATATTAGAGAAAGAATTGGGATCTCTCCATTCTGATCCCTGTGCTCTGAGCTCCAAGGCTGTAGTTCTGGTCTTACTAATATTTTTGCAAAGCTTTATACTTCCTTAAATCATTTTTGCAAACATTATCTTGTTTCATCTTCTAACAACCCAGTAGAGTAAATAAGCCAAGAGCTAGCCCATTTGGGCAGATAAGGAAACAGGTTTGAGGTGGCTGAGTGACTTTTTGAGGTCACACAGTTGTCTGGGACATTGTGGGAGCTACAGGCAGGGCCTGCCAGGGGATTACTAGGAAGGCAGAGAGGACTGCCCTGGGATCTGGGTGCATAGGCTTTGGGGTTGTAGTCATGACAACTCCTCTGGGGAATCCATAAAGCTGTCCTTTCAGGGAAGGGAATAGGCAGGGGAAGAGGTTGGACATTGGGGCCAAGGGGGTCCTGTACCCAGTTGTCCTAGAAAACCAAAGTCCCTATAGCTACATCTTTTCTCCCCAGCTCGCCATTTGGCAGGCTGACAGTAGCAAGTGGTGGTAGTGACTTGAGGTCAGGGAGCAGTCAGTTGGGCCTGGGTGTATACCAGGCCCCTTTTTCCAGTGCCAGCAGGGGGAACTGACTGCTGCTCTTCTGGGATGGGTGTGGTGGAGGGTTTACCCTTATGGGGGCCACAAATGTGTAGAAGTCCTGCTCTCTGAAGGAAAAGAGCCAATATCAAGAAAAGCCTCCATCATGGTAAGGTGGCACATGCCTGTAATTCCAGCAACTCAGGAATCTGAGGTAGGAGATGACAAATTCAAGGCCAACCTCAGCAATTCAGAGATATCTGCAATAACTTAGTGAAACCCTGTCTGAAAATTAAAATAAAAAAAACAACTAGGAATGTAGCTCAGTGGCAAAGTGCTCCTGAGATTGGTCCCCAGTACCAAGAAACCCAGTCCCCATCACCACAAACATGTCAGCCTTTTTCACTTGTGAGATGTGGGCTCCCTCTGCTGGTAGCTTGAGGAAGAGTTGGGTCACAGTCATTGGCCAACCAAGTGCTACTTCTGGGAGGGACTTGGGTAAGGATTAACCTTCATGAGTGCTCACTCAGTCCTGGCACTGACTGGGAACACAAAGACTCTGTCCTGGAAATGATGACCTAGGATCATCTGAGGGCGGAAACAGGCAGCAGTTCCCAGCCCTCCTGTACTCAGAAGATAGCAGGAGCCTGCAGAGACAGGCCTGTGGTCAGGGTAATTAATGGACAATGAAAAAATATTATGAATCCAGTTGTTTAATTTACGAGCTCTTGCTCTGTAGGAGAGGAGGACTCACTTTCTGAGGAATGTCCCATGATGGTGTTTTTAGAGCCCACTGTGCTTCAGACATTTATTTACTTATTGTATTTAACCCAGTGGCATGTTACGTCCCTAGCCCTTTTAGTTTTTATTTTGAGAAAAGGACTCACCAAGTTGCTCAGGACCTTGCTAAATTGCTAAGGCTGGCCTTGAACTTGCCATCACCCTGCCTCAGAGTCGCAGAGATTACAGGTGTGAGACACCATGCCCAGAAGAACTATCATTTTGCTTGTAATTCCTTCTAGTGCCAGAAGCCCAGCCAGCAGTCTGGGTGAAAGGAGTAGGCAAGATGGGAGGAAAGGAGCCAAGCCACTCCCAGGCTACTTTACTCAGTCTTTTGGTGGATTAATTTCAAGTGGTCACAGCAGAAAGAATTGATTCCAGGGGCTGGGGATGTGGCTCAAGCGGTAGTGTGCTCGCCTGGCATGCATAGGGCCAAGGTTCGATCCTCAGCACCACATACAAACAAAGATGTTGTGTCCACTGAAAACTAAAGAATAAATTAAAAATTTAAAAAAAAAAAAAAGAATTCTGATTCCAGACTATGGAGCTAGCTGGGGGTGGGGAGTGTTTCCCTGAGGAGCTTATCAAGTCCCCTGACCCCAGAAATGCCCATGTCAACTGTTTTTGTGGTACTGGGTATTGAACCCAGGGATGTCCTACCACTGACAGACATCCTCGGTTCTTTTTATTTATTTATTTTTAATGCTTATTTTTTGTAGTTGTAGATGGCCAGAATGCCTTTATTTTATTTATTTTATTTTTATATGGTGCCGAGGATCGAACCTAGTGCCTCACGCATGCTAGGCAAGTGCTCTGCCACTGGGCTACAGCCCCAACACGTTCTTTTTATTTTGAGAGAGGGTCTTACTAAATTGCTGAGGCTATCCTCAAACTTATGATATTCCTACTTCAGCCTCCTGAGTCCCTGGAATTACAGGTGTGCGCCACCACACCTGGCTCTGTGTCAACTGGTTTCTTTTTCTGGGCATCTCTGGCATGTTTTCTAATAGCTGGGACCAGCCTGCTAGAGTCATGGGCTGGGATATTTAGCTGAATGAGTTAGCAACAGGCCCTAAAAACCATCAAGCCAGTGTCCTCTATACCTAGAAAACACAATAAGTGACTTGAGCCCTCTGCCCGGCACCACTTGATGATGTGACCCACAGTACTCTGGGTTAGGGGAAGGGCAGGAGAAGAGGTGACCTGTAATTATAGCCAGGACCTGTTAATACAGCCAGGCCCTTTCTGTATCTCAGTAGGATCTGGGCCCTCCTGCCACTCCCTCCAGGGCCCATCCTGACCCAGGTATCTCAAAGTGTCACAAGGGCAGGAGGGAGGGACTAGGATGCTCTTGTGATTCCCAGTCGGCACCAGCTCCTCAGTGCAGCATGTCAGGAGGGCAGGCAGCTGGGGGCAAGGGGTTGGAGAGGTCACTGGTCAACCTGAGATGGGACCGTGACTCTGAAGTGAGGCCCTCCAGCTAGCCAAGTACTTAGGTCTGACCATTACCTCCAACTTCCTGACCAGCTCATGCAGCAGTGGCCCCCTTTACTTTTTCAATCATAGAGCATACAGAATTCCCAATGCATCATTAGTGTCTGGTGTCAGTCCCACAGGCAGTCCTCAGAGCCTCAAGTGTTGCCAAATGCTGTATTTATTGGTTGGTTACACTGAAGAGTATAGTTTCTGAGCCAAAAACATATATACTCCGCTCTCCACAAAACCACTGAGTCACTAAGGCAGGCACACAATGGCCACCATGCTTGGTGGAGGCCAAGGACTCACAGACGGGTGGGCAATGGGGTGGGCTGGCCCCCAAACAGCCTGTGCAGTGCCCAGGACAGGGGTGGGCTGGGAAGGCTGGGCTGGTTGCGGAATAGCTGCTGGGCTCTTTCTCATGATTCCCAAATGTGGGATGTCTGCATACCTTGGTGACTTTTGGGTAGGCCCCAAACCTAGATATGTCCTCCAGGACAAGGCCTAGCATGAGCTGAGTGGAAGGGGCTGTGGGGTTGACAGAGCAAGCAGCATGCCTAAGTCTCAGGTCAGGAGCCACACCCTTCCTGGCACCCCTGCAAGTGCAGCTCCTCTCAGGGACTTCTGGGTCCCTAGGCCTCTCAGCATCCTGAGAAGCCTGTGGAAATCAGAGTGGGCCTTGCTTTTCACCAAGCATCCCCCACATCCCTTAGCCCCAGGGACAGGCAGATTCCTGGGACAGGCAACAAGCTGCTCCTAAGCTCAGGACTGTCCCTGAGAAGAAGCTGTGACAGGACTGCCTCTGTATAAAATCACCTGGGGTTCCTCTGGAGAGCTAGTGATCCAACTGTGCTCCAGATCATCCAGCTAACAAGAATGTTACTTCCACATTTTCAGGGATATATCTAATACATAAAGAAAGGACAGGGAGGTAAGAGTGACACTGTACAGACACACATAGGTGACCTGTACAGTAGGGAGAGCACTTGAGTTCACCTCAGGTGGCCAGAAGTGGTGGCAGTGCTGCTAAGGTGGGTTTCTCCCACCCAGGACCCATATCTGACTGCCCCAGAATCTTAGGAGAGGGCCTGGAAGGCAGCTTAGGTCTCTTGTCTCCAGGACACATGCCCTAAAAGGCAGCTGTTCTAGCTGCCCCAACTGGGACTGCAAAGGGGCTATCAGGAGAGAGAACACACAGAGCCCCATTGTCCCCTGCAACTCTTGACAGGAGGGGCCCAGGCCACTATATAGTCCCTGCTAGCTCTAGAGGGCCCCAGGTTGATTCAAGAGAGGCATTGGGGGACAGTCCAGGCTGAGGCTACAGGTGGCAGTGGAGCTATTCCTGGTTGTTTAAGAGGAGAACAGAGTAGGTGTGCCCCAAGGCAGCTGCTCCCATCTCATCCCTGATCTGAGGGTAGCCTGGCGCTGACTAGCCCTGCAGAGCCAGCACAGCCTGGAGTCGGATCCAGGCTCACAATCACTTTGTTAGGAACACAGCTGTGCAGGCAGGGACAGCTGGGGGTTGGAGCAATCGGCTGTAATGCCCCTGCACCTCTCCCTGCTGGAGCCCGGGGGCCTGGTGCCCAGGCTCTCCATGCAGCCCCTGGCTACAGCCCTCATTTGTTCTCTATGAGCATCTGCACCTTGTGGACGAGGTCCCGGGCAATCCGCAGGATCTCCTGGGCATCATGATGCTCAGCCCGCTCTAGGGGAAACATAGATAATTGTGGGGAGCCCTGGAGAGGAGGTATAGGCTGGGAAGAGCCCTGTGGTGGAATACCCTTTCTACCTGCTGGGCTCTTGACTTCCTGCCTATGGGGAAAGGACCCTGGTATTCTTGAGAACCCTCCAACTTTGCCCAGGACAGGAGTGGAGGCCCCCACGCCCCTGCTGCGGTTAGCCAGGATGACTGGGCCAGTTCATACCATTGAAGAACTTGATGATGTCAGTGAAGTCCATGTTGTTGTCACGGATGATCTCTCGGTAGGCCTCCACCAGGGCCAGGGCGATGAACAGCACAAAATGCTCGGATGAGATGTGCCTGGCTGCCCAGATCACCTCCCACACA